AGAGCTGGAGCTCAGTAACTGACTTGATCTTATTTACTAACTTTGAAGTATGTCTGCTTTTAATTTTAGGGAAATTGATGGGTTATTTACAAAGATACGAAAGAGAATTAAGGCGGGGACGAGAGCTGGAGCTCGATAACTGTTTTGATCTTATTTACGGTGTCTGAAATACAGAGGGTAGAAATTTCAGGGGAATTGATCTGTTACTAACGAAGATACGAGAGAGAGCTAAGGCGGAGGACAAGAGCTGGAGCTTGGTAACTGTTTTGATCTTATTTACGGTGTCTGAAATACAGAGGCTAAAAATCTCAGGGAATTTGGACTGTTACTAATGATTTTGTACAAATGAACTAAGCTGGGGACAAGAGCTAGAGTTTGATAATTGTTTGCATTTACTAAACTATGTCTGAAATACAGAGGGTAGAAATTTCAGGGAAATTGGACTGATACTAACGAAGATACGAGAGAGAGCTAAGGCGGAGGACAAGCGCTGGAGCTTGGTAACTAAATTACTGTATTGAACTACATTTGAAATATGATTATTTTTAAATTTTAGAGGGATTGGAATGATAGTATTCATTATACGACAGGGGACTAAGGTGGGGAACGTGAGCTAGAACTTGCTTACTAACATGATTTATTTGTGTAAAACTGACTTGCTTAATGAAAAGGAGCAAACATACTGACTTGCTTAATGAAAAGGAGCAAACATACGATGTTGGAAAATAGTTGAACTGAATGAAAGGAGAGAGAGAGAGAGAGAGGAGACGGTCCAGATATTATGGATAAGATAAGATAAGATTAAGAGCCGACTGGCTGGCTGGCTGGGCGCAAAGTAAATAAAGGTGACGCGACAGATTGCGAGGTAAGGGGGGAGGGAGGGGGGTGTGATGTACGAAACCCTGAAAACCATGACTTACACAGGTGATTTTCTAAATTTATATGAATAACTAAGGCTTACATAGACGATTTTGTAAGTTGAAAACATGTAAAATATGTCCGTAGAGTTCTCCTGGAAGCCCTAAAGAGCTACACACGTTATTTGAATTTCTCCCATAAGGCCTTAACAAACTTCTAAGTCTCGGAAATTATTTTTCTCATAAGAAATCCATACTTCTAAAATCTCGGAAATTACTCACTCATAAGAAATCCTTAATCCCAAATTTGTGACTCCTCAAATTCACCTGAAAACCCCCGACACGCTACAAACGAATTTATAAATTCACCTGAAAACCCTGACACGCTACAGACGAATTTCCCCCCCCAAAAAAAAATTCGTCTGTGGCGTGTCAACCCTACTACTCTGGTCGACCCCATCCCATCCTCAGACTATGCTCCTTCAAGCTCTGGTCGACCCCATCCCATCCTCAGACTATGCTCCTTCAAGCTCTGGTCGACCCCATCCCATCCTCAGACTATGCTCCTTCAAGCTCTGGTCGACCCCATCCCATCCTCAGACTATGCTCCTTCAAGCTCTGGTCGACCCCATCCCATCCTCAGACTATGCTCCTTCAAGCTCTGGTCGACCCCATCCCATCCTCAGACTATGCTCCTTCAAGCTCTGGTCGACCCCATCCCATCCTCAGACTATGCTCCTTCAAGCTCTGGTCGACCCCATCCCATCCTCAGACTATGCTACTTCAAGATCTGTTCATCGCCAAATTTTAACGTGAGTGTACCTAAAATCATATTATTTTCGAATGTCAATAGATAACAATGGTTATTACATGTGTGGATAATTAGACACATTAACTGATAGGTTAGATGGTTTGTTTTGCTAGTAACTATTAGTAGTGCACGGATGAAGCATTTATCGATGGGCACATCGAACACAAGAAGACATGATTCACATGAATTCAGTTGTGCAGCCCTTTCTCTAAACAAAGGCCAAAGTCCATTCCATGCACCCGCCAAACCCACTGTTTATGAATGAAAAACGGTTTACATACGACACACAACTGATTTCGTTCGAACACTTCCGGAACAAGTGCTTCACTGATGAATTTTGTTCGAACCACAACGCTGTAAATGCTTCACCCACGTACTACAAATACAAATAATTGCCAACTGAACGTAAATACCTAACCTAACCTAACCTTACCATTGCCTTTATATGCACAATATGCTAATATATTATAATATTAATTTATTTATGAGATAGTTCCTGTTGTGAATGAGCAGCATGTTAAAATTGATGAATGCGTCTGTGGGGTCGACCACTGGATGGAATGGACTTGAGTCGTACTTCAGATACAAATAATCGCCAACAGAACCTAAACCCCTAACCAAACCAATGCCTAAATATGCACAGTATGCTAATCAGCAGTATATAACAATATTAATTTATATTTGAGAAAATTCCTAATTTGGTTGAACAGCATGTTATAATGGATGAATGTGCGTTTGGGGTCGACCGTTGGATGGAATGGACTTGATCTGAGGACGGGTTGCATCACAATAGTCACTCAGCAGTGACGCGTCAGGTACTGTGATTAAGGAGTGATTCATATACATTTGTGAGCAGTGAGAGCAACCTGTCCTCTTAAAAAGAACGTTGCTTTTGGCCGTTTACCCGTATGGCCGAAAGTGGACGTAATTTGAAAATGAAAAAAAATTGAAAATAAATTTGGGATTTTTTTTCAACAACAGTAAGTTAAGGGTCCTCTGATAGGTTAGGTGGGCAGGAAATTCTCATAAAGTTTCAAAACATTATGAATAACTTTAATGGAAAGTTCCTCTTCTAAGCTACCCGAGGAGGACCAGACGACTCAAACAGAAAACGGAACAGGACGTCACTTTTGTGAGTCGATTTCGTTTCAAATTACGTCCAAATTTGGCCATAGCGCGCATACGAGCCAAAAGTGACGTTATTTTTAAGAGGACGGGTTGGTGAGAGAGTTGCCATTAAGTATGGGGGGAGAGGACAAATACTGGCAATAAGAAGAACACAGAAATAGATTAATAATAAAGAAGATAAGTAAAGAATAAATCAGAGATGAATATAGACAAAAGTGATACAGTCAATCGAATAACATGTGAAATGCCACGCTTGCTCAGCTGCAAATCCGTTCTCGCACTTTCGTATAGTTAATATTGACTTATTAAATACGTGCATATGTGACATACTAAACATACTAGTTTACCTTGAAAAGCTTTATAGAAAACACCGACCTTGCCTAACCTTCTTAGTATGTTAAGATTAGCATCTTATTGCTTCGTAATTACAATTATTAAGGTAAGGTAAGTGCAAATGCTGATTAACGTCCTTATGTTCAGGCTGCAGCATTTGTTGGAAATGCTGGAGACGGCAAGAGAGCAGATAAATACCTTTGTAATTCTGTCTAGTGGATACAATACGCCCGCTGCTGAGGACAAACACAGAGATCCCTCACCAGTGGTGCTTGTGGATCCCAAAGGAGGTAACTGGAAGTCAGTCTGGTAGTCAAATGAGATTTCCTAGTGGTGCTTGTGGATCCAAAAGGAGGTAACTGGAAGTCAGTCTGGTAGTCAAATGAGATCACGTAGTGGTGCCTGTGGATCCCAAAGGATGTAACTGGAAGTCAGTCTGGTAGTCAAATGAGATTTCCTAGTGGTGCTTGTGGATCTCATAGGGGTAACTAGAAGTCAGTCTGGTAGTCAAATGAGATCTCGTTGTGGTGCTTGTGGATCCCAAAGGAGGTAACTGGAAGTCAGTCTGGTAGTCAAATGAGATCACGTAGTGGTGCCTGTGGATCCCAAAGGATGTAACTGGAAGTCAGTCTCGTAGTCAAATGAGATCTCCTAGTGGTGCTTGTGGATCCCAAAGGGGTAACTAGAAGTCAGTCTGGTAGTCAAATGAGATCTCGTTGTGGTGCTTGTGGATCCCAAAGGAGGTAACTGGAAGTCAGTCTGGTAGTCAAATGAGATCACGTAGTGGTGCTTGTAGATCCTAAAGGGGTAACTGGAAGTCAGTCTGGTAGTCAAATGAGATGACGTAGTGGTGCTTGTAGATCCCAAAGGGGGTAACTGGAAGTCAGTCTGGTAGTCAAATGAGCTCACGTAGTAATGTACATAGTGATCATATCTAGGATGGTTGCTATATGGCGTAGGGTGACCAATAATAATTACTCTTGTCTAATGTTATATCGCCACGCAATTCTACTGATGAAGTTATCAATAAACATTTTAGGCTCGATGTACTAATGACAATATTATTGTCATACAGAATACCAGTGCATTGCTATGCCTTAAAATGTTAATGATTATGCATGCTAAAGGCTCGGCACTCTGAGAAATGATAAGATTGGTTGGAAAAAATTGAAAATGAAGCAAGTAGGCCATAACTAAACAATCAAAACAGAGCAATTAGCCATAACTAAACAATCGAGATGTTGAGGATTGTTCACCCGCTATTTGTCTTCAGATTTAAATTGTATTAAATGGAGGACAATTTAACATAGGTGTATGTTGATTTACATAGCAGTGTTTTCATGCTAAAATTGCCATATATAATATTTTTTCTTTTGTATATTTTAAGCTGTGGTAGCCTAATAGATCTCAAGTGGTGAGATGGGTGGTTGGCTGAAAACAGAGATTAAACATCTGGCACAAGTCAAAGCGTTTGGGTGCCGGCGTCCTCCTAATAGAACGTCGCATTTCGACGTATAATCATCTAAAGACCAAAAATAGTCGTCCTAGAAAATGGTAGCTGCTCACGGAATTCACACAGGCCCGTTTTCTGTTTTGGGTCCTCTGGCAGGTTTGAATGAGGTGCACTTTAGTACAACAGTTACTAGACGTTTGGGACACCCATGGAGGACGGCCTGGCCGGCTTACCGGACACCATTATTAGACCCGGCACACACAGTGAAGATTTAGGCTCATCGAAGCTTCAGTCAATAGGCGGGTCCGGAGCCAACCATTGACACACCGCTCTGAACCTACTGACCGGAGCAGACGCAACGTTCGTTGATATCAAATGACACGTTGGGCTGAGGGTGGCATGGGGGGTTCTGGGAGTGTCATGGTGGGTCTGAGGGAGGCATGGTGGGTCTGAGGGTGGTATGGTGGGTCTGAGGGTGGTATGGTGGGTCTGAGGGTGGCATGGTGGGTCTGAGGGTGGCATGGTGGGTCTGAGGGTGGTATGGTGGGCCTGAGGGTGGCATGGGGGGTCTGAGGGTGTCATGGTGGGTCTGAGGGTGGCATGGTGGGTCTGAGGGTGGTATGGTGGGTCTGAGGGTGGTATGGTGGGTCTGAGGGTGGCATGGTGGGTCTGAGGGTGGCATGGTGGGTCTGAGGGTGGTATGGTGGGTCTGAGGGGTGGCATGGTGGGTCTGAGGGTGGCATGGTGGGTCTGAGGGTGGCATGGTGGGTCTGAGGGTGGTATGGTGGGTCTGAGGGTGGCATGGTGGGTCTGAGGGTGGCATGGTGGGTCTGAGGGTGGCATGGTGGGTCTGAGGGTGGCATGGTGGGTCTGAGGGTGGCATGGTGGGTCTGAGGGTGGCATGGTGGGTCTGAGGGTGGTATGGTGGGTCTGAGGGTGGCATGGTGGGTCTGAGGGTGGCATGGTGGGTCTGAGGGTGGTATGGTGGGTCTGAGGGTGGCATGGTGGATCTGAGGGTGGCATGGTGGGTCTGGGGGTGGTATGGTGGGTCTGAGAGTGGCATGGTGGGTCTGAGGGTGGCATGGTGGGTCTGAGGGTGGTATGGTGGGTCTGAGGGTGGCATGGTGGGTCTGAGGGAGGTATGGTGGGTCTGAGGGTGGTATGGTGGGTCTGAGGGTGGTATGGTGGGTCTGAGGGTGGTATGGTGGGTCTGAGGGTGGCATGGTGGGTCTGAGGGTGGCATGGTGGGTCTGGGGGTGGCATGGTGGGTCTGGGGGTGTCATGGGGGGTCTCACACACACACACACACACACACACACACACACACACACACACACACACACACACACACACACACACACACACACACACACACACACACACACACAATTACTTGTACAAAGACACGAGTACTAAGCGTGGCTTGGCCCTACCCTCGCTGGACCCGGGTAACTGGTCGGCGAGTGCTTGTACGTGGGAGTGGGCGTAGTCGTAGGCGTGGGTGTGGGTGTGGGCGTGAGTGTGGTCGTGGGCGTGGGTATGGGCGTGGATGATGGAAAGGTGCAAGTATGGGTGGAAGTAATTATCACAGTAGCCAACGTTAACCAGTTGCACAAGAAAACCTTGCTGAGGTTAATGTCTCAACCGCTGGTAAAAGTTTAGTGTTCGTACTGGACACGACCAGAGCTCGTATACTCCATATTTAGGGCGCCTGACAGCTGGGTGGACAGCGCCTCGGATTCGTAGTCCTGGGGTTCCGGGTTCGATCCCCGGTGGAGGCGGAGACAAATGGGCAAAATGTTTCTTTCACTTTGATACCCCTCTTGTCTAGCAGTAAATAGGTACCTGGGAGTTAGACAGCTGCTACGGGCTGCTTCCTGGGGGTGTGTAACAAAAAGGAGGCCTGGTCGAGGACCGGGCCGCGGGAACGCTAAGACTCGAAATCGTCTCAAGATAACCTCTCAAGATATATTATTTTGTTATGTTATTAATCACTCAACCACAGGAAGTGACTTATGAACTTTTACAATAGCAAGTTACAATTACATCAAATATATTTTAGATAATTGTGGGATTACCTGGAAAATCTTTGGTGGAGCTCCAGTATATTATATATTCCAGTACTCAGATAGTAAGTGCTAAGTACAGCTTATCTCAGCCAAGGGGGGGGGGGGGCGGCTGCTGGTCAATATGGGACATTCTACTGTGTAATATTCAAGGACGTGAATGTTTTCTTCACAAATTTGACAAAGAATTCGACACTTGAGATTCGGGAAAGCTGCCAGAATACGTCTTACTTTGGCCACTAAAACATCTCATTTTCCAGTTACTGCTTTATTAGTTACATTTAGTAATGATCATTCATGGTATTCATCGCAGTATTTAATGCTACAGTTTTTAAGACTTCGAGTATTTCTTGCCTCTGTTGTATTTTGATTGGACATTAGATTCAGTGAGAAAATCCTTAGGTGCCGTGATGAGGGTTCGAATCTACGCGGTTGGTGTTCCCATACACACACTGTATACGACTAGACCACGATATGGTATAATAATTACAACCTGGAGATCTACTGAACGCAAGAGGGTTTCCTGAGGCTTTGACTGAAGCCGGATAATTTAACGTGAACTGATTATCACGTTTACCAGACCACACACTAAAAGGTGAAGGGACGACGACGTTTCGGTCCGTCCTGGACCATTCTCAAGTCGATTGTGACATTCTCACAATCGACTTGAGAATGGTCCAGGACGGACCGAAACGTCGTCGTCCCTTCACCATCTAGTGTGTGGTCTGGTCAACATACTTTAGCCACGTTATTGTGACTCATCGCCTGCAACTGATTATCACGTTAGTGTGATTACTCTCTGTGTATTAGATTCAGTATTGGCTCTGTCACTACTAATGAAACATTTATGATGCCTGCCGGCCTGCTACTGCATGATGTTGTATGTCAAGAACATCATACCTTGAGATACCGATATGCGATGATATCTAGAGGAATTAATGCTCTTGTGCTCTAATGCTGGAATTAATCTCAAAATTGCTTATTTTACCAGTTAAAACATTCATTGAAATATCACTGATTATTTCCTTGGTGTTACATCATAGTGTGTTGAGTACCAGGAGTGTACTCCTGGTACTCAACGCAGTCCGTTATTCTACTCTCTCTTTTACAAATTTAGTAGCAAGGTTTGTACTCCAAGCTCGGCCTGAGTCAGACTACCACAGTCACAGCCACGCTTCTAAGGCACCACGAAATCATATTGTTTATATAATTAATAATAATTATTAATTTTATCTGGAGACAGGCAGCCAGAGTGTATTTATACACGTTAGGCTTATATCGAGGTCCCCCCCCTCTTCACAAGGACGAATTACTAACCCCGCCTAGGATGCAACTCCCCAACAAGCCGACTAACTTGTCAGTTAGTCCAACTCCTGAGTTCACGGGTGAACAGGTTCATTAAATGACAGGAGATGCACCCAGCAATTTCTATTCCCGCCCAATATTCGAAGCCGTAATTCTCGATCGTGAGTCGAGACCGATCTCGACTGAACTCCCTCGAAAATATTACATGCCCAAGCGGTACCACCAACGTGTATAGGACGTCAGAATAGCCCTCATATACCTCGTTACCTGAACACTCTCAGCGTTGCTTTGCGTTGTTGACTCATTTATTAGTGACGAGTTCACTATGCAGGCGATGAGTCACAATAACGTGGCTAAAGTATGTTGACCAGACCACACACTAGAAGGTGAAGGGACGACGACGTTTCGGTCCGTCTTGGACCATTCTCAAGTCGATTGTGACTTGACATAATCGATTGGCCAGTAGATTGTGACACAATCGTTGACTAGACACTGGTCTGGTCAACGAGTTCACACTATCCCTGATGCAGTGACGGAATCTATCGCTGGGTTCTATTTCTCGAGTGGATCAGTTCATTAACTGGCCTTTTACTTGACATGGATATAACATTTTAATAGTTGGATATCTTATACAACCAAATGCATAAATAAATTAATTTTTTTCTTACACACAGAAATCACAATAACGTAATACATCAATAAACAAATCCACAAGGGCCGTGACGAGGATTCGAACCTACGTCTGTGAGCATCCCAGACGCTGCCTTAATCGACTGAGCTACGACATGATCAAAAAAAGAGTTGAAACCGAAGTTCTACTAAACTTACTGGATCCTGCAGCCTCTCCGAGACACAAACCAGAATTTCCAACTCTTTTTTAACCATATCGTAGCTCAGTCGATTAAGGCAGCGTCTGGGATACTCACAGACGAAGGTTCGAATCCTCGTCACGGCCTTTGTGGATTTGTTAATTTTTTCTATTTCTTCTATGTCTAACATATGAGACGGCTGAAAGTGAGATTGCATATGGTATTGTAATCCATTCAGCTACCGGCACACAGAACCTTGGGTCTATATATGCATACAGTGTGACAAGTAAGGCATTATAATCCCTCAGAGAGCAGATAAATGCTCTATGGAACTGACTAGCCAGTCTTGCATTAATTACAAGAGTGAGACGAAGAATGGCCCGAGAGTGCTTTAATCTCTGTCTCCTTTTGAGATAAGAAATGAACCTCGAGTCCTTAATGAGACGTGTGTGAGACCGGCGCTGTGGGCGTGGGTGTGAATGTTGGCGTGGGTGTGAGTGTGGGCGTGGGTGTGAATGTTGGCGTGGGTGTGAATGTTAACGTGGGTGTGAATGTTGGCGTGGGTGTGAATGTGGGCGTGGGTGTGATTGTGTGTGTGGGTGTGAATGTTGGCGTGGGTGTGAGTGTGGGCGTGGGTGTGAATGTTGGCGTGGGTGTGAGGGTGTGTATGTGGGCGTGGGTGTGAATGTTGGCATGGGTGTGAATGTGGGCGTGGGTGTATTAACTCGTGTGAGTGACTAGTTGTAAGGGTGTGGTGTGAGTGGGTAGGCCCAGGGGATTGAACTTGGGTTTGCTTGTGCTCACCCAATTGTGTTTCCGGTGGTTGAGCTTTAGCTCTTTACTTCCGCAGCTCAGCTGTCTCAAGCTTGGCATATAAGTTAATGAGCTGATTGATTGATGAAGATTAAGCCACCTAAGAGGTGGTACGGGCACGAATATCCCGTAATTAATGAGCTGTTGGGCACTATCTTACATATATTCAAATCATTCCCTCATCACCTTATCTTTTAATGCATTCTATTTGTTGACTCCTGACTGATCTTTTAAGTGTCTGTGACTCATTTGGGCAGTCCGTCCTCCTAAGGTTTCCCAACGTCAAGAAACTGTCGTGCTAACGTGCCCTTATCCTAACCTACCAGAGGACCCAAAACAGAAAACGGGACAGTATGTCGATTTCACAAGCCGCTACCATTTTCTACTACGACAATTTTTGGCCATAGGGAGAGAGTATACGTCAAAATGCGACGTTCTATTAGGAGGATAGGTTGCATTTAAGTATCCTGTGTCCTCCCCCCCCCCTGTGTCCTCCCCCCTGTGTCCCCTCTGTGTCCCCCTGTGTCCCCCTGTGTCCCCCTGTGTCCCCACTGTATAAGTGCCACTCTAGCTAAATAATCAGTCGTTAGGTGCCCAATATTCCCTCCAAGTCCTCTGGCTTTCAGTGGCCGAACTTTGCCTGAACTTTGTCTTGTGTTTGACTTGATAAGGACTCCACACTGCAGTCTCGTATCCCTGGATTAGTGTGTGATATGCTGTGGTGGGGTGGCCGGCGGTGTCCGGGTCTTATGTGTTGTCACATGTGCACCTTGCTTGTCTCTCTCTTCACACACGCTCTCTCCTTCCTCATCCTCGCCTTCGCCTTGCAACTCTCCTTTACAAACGTCCTTTTATGTACACACAGAAAATACACAACAAAATACACGCAAAAACAGACAAAAACACACGATAAAGCAGAAAAAACACTCAAAACATACAAGGAAAAAGACATGCAGGATCATGCACGCTCTTCCCCCGAAACCACCCTCTCTACACGCACACGCACATGCACGCCGTCCACAGCTCTACCCGCCATGCGCGAACACGCACGCATACACACACACACACACACACACACACACACACACACACACACACACACACACACACACACACACACACACACACACACACACACACACACACACACACACCTGTTGATTGACGGTTGAGAGGCGGGACCAAAGAGCCAGAGCTCAACCCCCGCAAACACAACTAGGTGAGTACACACACACACACACATACACACA